AGGAGCCAAATCAAAGCACAGGTCAAGGTAAAAGCTGCCTTTGTCAGCGGCCCGCAGGTCCCTCACCCACCTCTCTTCCAAGTGTATCTACATGTCTTGACTCCACATATCTCTTTCCACGTCGAAGGCTGAGAAGCAAACGCAACTTCTCTCCCGTCTCTCTCCTCTAGTTGCCTCCTCCAGGTCTTTTCCTCGGGTCCTCACTTTTTTGGCTTCACCTCCCTGCCCTGCTCCCCCCTTCATTATGTGGGACACACAACCTTGGACCTCTACTTTCTATGTAAATCACACTGTTGCAAGTTGATTTTCTAATAATGTGTTAACCAGATACCCTACTTTTTCTACTTTACTTGTTTTGATTATATCTTACTACACAGTATTATGATAGATTTAGTAGTTGAAGTATATCTTAACACATTTTTAGTAGCTAAAGTGGTATACAGGTTATGAAAATAAAGTGTAAGTCATATATATATGATATATGAAATATGTATACATATTTCATTTTTAAATTGCATTTATTTGTTCCAATTCATCCTTTATTCCCTCCAACAAATGAAAATGAATTTTGTAGTTAAATTCCAGCCTGCGAGCCTCTCATGACTGGGCATACATTTTAAGAGATGTGAAGACGCCATCTCTTAAAATGCACACTGACAAAGAGTAACACTAACCGCTCCAATGAACCCTGAGATTTTAGTGACTTAACTCAGAAGTTAATTTCTTGCTTACAGACCAGTCCCTTGTCGGTATTCCTGGTCTATGAGCAGTTTTTAACCAGGAAGTGACTCAGGGGCTTTGGACACATTCATTGTGTCCTTTAGATTTCTGAGTAAAGAGGCTGGGAGAAGTAAAGACAACACTTGCCTCTTTGCTGTCTTGATCCAGAAAAGCCACCTGCCATTTCCACTCAGACTCAATGCAAAGATATTCACATGGCCTGGTGGACACAGGAGGGGCCGCAGTGCCTGGCTTGTAGATGCTTCTGGCACCAAAGCTCTCCATTAAGAGTGAACTTGGGGGCCCTCCCTGGTGGCGCAACAGGTTAAAGCACAGCACTGAGAAGCTAAAGCCACTTCTGCAAGAGTTGGATCCCCGCCTGCCCCGGAGGTGACCACATGGTGAGGCAGACATCTCCTGACCACCCAATGCTCCCCTTAGCAGTATACTTCATTGGTCTGCCTGTTCTGCTCCCCACTCTGTGTCTGTTGAATCCTGTCACCACCCCTGCGCCTCTGGCCTATACCCCAGCTTTGTATGCATAAATAAATCTTAAAAAAAAAAAAAAGTGAACCTGGCTCTCCAATTGACAATTACCCATCCCCATTACAGTGGTTTAAAGAGATAGAACACTGTAGTGAAATGGGAGTATTTCTGGTCAGCGCTACCAAATGTTTACTAAAAGGTTAATATTTGGGTTCTACTTCTATCATCTATTGTTAACTGCTGTTTGTGTTGAGAATTGAAAAAGAAAAATCTTGTGAAATGACTTTGTAACCTCAGGGTTGAAAGGTATTACTTTCAGTAATTACTGGAATCTGAACTCTGTTTGACAAAGTAAGCCAGAATCCATTTTCTTCGCTTGTTTTATTCAGTCCATTTCTGTTTACTTCCTTCAAGTCCCTGTTCCAAGCTTACCTCTGTTGAGATACCCACCTGCTCTGCCCGCTGTTTTAATGCATAGTCCCTCCAGTTACCTTTCTCTTATTCTTTGCATTCTAATTGCTTTATAACCGGAAGGGTGATGTGGGAAAATGAGAAGAGTTGAGGCATTCTTTGCACGGGCTATTGTATAAGGTCTTATTTATACTCACTACAATGTTTTGAATTAGAAGGTACGCATTTGGGGGGGGGGGATTAAACTGGTGAAGCAATTTATTCACGTTAACACAGATGTCAAGGGCAGAAGCAGTATGCAAGCCCTGCTTTGATCCTCAAAACTTCCTTCATTCCTCCTATACTCCACATTTCCCCTTCTTCTCCTTGGCAATAGAGGAACCCAGTTTTATCAGGGAGCTGGTGGTTAGATGTCCCCCACCTCCCAACTTTATCCCTCTCCAAAAAATCACACCGGATGTAAGCAGAAAACTTCCAGGTGTATACCTATTTTTTCTCTAAGTGTTCAAAATAGAAATCCTAAGCAAGTGTAACTTGTAGGTTATTCCCTGTTTTTTCATCTTAATTTTCTATCTATTTTTGGCTACTTTCTTCAGAGTAGTCAACATTCTTTTCATGACCATAAAAAAATCGCTGTTATGTTTATTGTATTTCTGTGCATAAAATATGAGCATTAAATACATAAAGACTGATTTGTTCAAAACAAATTAATCTTTCAGTGACTTCCTAAATAGTGTTGAGCAAAACAAAAAGAAATCTGGTTAATTATTCTTTGATAATATTACTAATCACGGTTGTAGTATGATTAATCTTTGAATAATGAATACTTTCCTACAAACTTCAATATGGAATTGATATAATTAAATTATCCATGCTAGGAACACTCAAAAATGGTTTTTTAGGATTTATTAATTTATGCATACAAGAACTGGTATATATGTTAAAGGTGTGGTGTGGGGAGGGTGGTGTGAGGATTCACCAGAGACAAAGTAGGAAACAGAACAAGTGGATTGACTGAAATACACTACTGAGGGAAGCAGTGGGTGAGACTGAGAGGTCTGCTGCGCCATGTGGGTCAGCTCCCTGGCCAGGGATTGAATTTGTGCTAATGTGACAGCTGATAGCTTCATAGTGATGAGACTTAACCCCTTAAGAAGGGAGACCCTTGGCCCTCCCTGGTGGCGCAGCGGGTTAAAGCACAGCACTGAGAATCTAAAGCCGCTTCCACATGAGTTCGATTCCCACCTGCCCCGGAGGTGACCACATGGCATGGCAGACCTCTCCTGACCCGCCCGCTGCTCCCCTCAGCAGTGTACTTCGTCGATCTGCCTGTTCTGCTCCCCACTCTGTCTCTGGTGAAGCCTCTCGCCGCCCCTGAGCCTCTGGCCTGTACCGCAGTTCTGTATGCACAAATAAATAAATCTAAAAAAAAAAAAAAAAAGGGAGACCCTAAAAAATAAAATTTATTTGCCTGTGTCATTTATAAAAATTGTTGTCACTTCCACTTCCATTATTTCAAAGTTTTTTAGAAAGGGAATAAATAATGCTTTGTATTGTGCAATTGACTGTGATGAAAAAAGTTCCATTACCCTTCTTATATAAATCCAATACAACTTGAAAGTATGATTTTATCAGTTTCTTACTTTTGAAAGTAAGTCCAAGAAACTGATGACATGAATATCTTTAATAAAAACTAAAGACTCCTTTAAAATTTTAATGAGTATTTTCCTTACAAAAATGTTGATAGCATTTGGTAATAACAATAAAAATAATAGAGTTTTAAGACGCTGCTTCCCATAACACCAATAGGCAATTGTGAACTCCAATTGTAACTCATGGCTATTTGTCAGTTCATCACACTGTACTGAGAAGTTGTCACTGTACTGAGAAATGTTTGAATGAATTCCTCAGGAGAAGAATATTTGATTTTACTTCTAAAGACTCAATATCAGATCTTTTTTTCTTGAGTTTGGAGTGTTTGTATTAAAAGCTGTGGCTTTTATGAGAAAAAAAAGTCTTGAAAATTCAGAACTCTGAAATTCTTAAGTTTGCCTCTATAAAGCCAGATTTGAATAAACAAATTTTTAGAATTTTAAACCTTAGAAAATAATATCTCCATCTGAATGGCTGTGGAAAAGCTTTCATCCCTTGTTCTGAGGCGTCGGTAAAACAGCTGTCATCTGCAGTCTTATTCAGAGACTGTCCTCTGATTGAGGGATTGACCCACCCTTCCTTTGTACACAGGACTCTACTTGGGGGTTGAATATCTCCCACTTCTGGAAGCAAATATAGTTACATTTTATACACTTGAATCCTTTAGGGAGGACAGGCACAATGAAGACAGAAATAATCAGGCAGCTCGATGGCTGAACCCCTCATTTCAGGGCATAACTATATGCTCAGATTCTTCAGGGTATAAGGTGACATGTTTGCTTCCTCTTCTTGAACTAATGACTTCCCCACCCCATGTTCAGTCCTTTTATACATTATCCTGATCATACTATTCAGGTGTATAGGATGGTCCTGATTGATACTTGCCCAGAAGTAATTATTGATAATATAAATTTCTACTTTTTATTTCTTATGAGATTAGGTGATAAATGACAGGTATATTCTACTATATTAAAGCCAACTCTCAATTTATAGTTGACTAAGTCCTATCTATTTTTATATTAAGGTATAACAAATTTGTATAATTCTTCTTTCTTTCTTCTTCTGACTATTACAAATATACCCACATTTTCTGGGTTTCCCCCTTTAATTTTACCTAATTTGCATTAACATTTGAAAGTACTCCCTAGCAATAGTATTTGGTGAAAGTGTTAAGGGGTTTTGTATAGCTTCAACAATTATATTCCTACTAGACATTTAGAAATTCAAAAACTGCACTTAAAAAATGTCATTCTGCAAAGATTAAGCTATTAACAATAATGATAGATGTGTTTTTAGATTAACTTAAATGAGTTTGTTCTCTTCTATATAAGACAATGCTTGTTTTAGTTCAGCCACAGAACATACTGTCCAGGGTCTATTTAGGTTGACCTGTCGGTCAGTCTGTCTGTCTTTGTCATCTTTGTCAATCAGTCATCTATCCAATCTATGTTAACTTTCAGCATCTGTAGAGAACATAGGTTGTAGGAAACAATTATTATAATGTGTGTCCTTTCAAGATGACATAAAATTCAACAGAGCACCCTTTGGCAACAGCCTTAAACTAAACACTGGAGGAAAGTAAAGGGCTGAGAAAGTTAGGTGGGTAGGGAACATAGGGGCCTTTATACTCAGGTATAGCTTTTTGCCTCACCAATTTATCATATTGTCCCTAACCCTCAATATCACACAGCTCCAAAACTGCACTTGATTTTATGGTTTTATTGAGCAAATTAATTTAAACTCCTTTGTTTTTAATCCGGAACCTCGTGTATATCTTCGAATCCAGTCTCTTATGGGTGATCAAGTTTTCAGTGATGTAGACACTTTCTTCATACCTTTTTGTAGATTCTAGTGCTGACAACATTATTCATGATACATTCCTAAAAGCAAAGAGAGGCCTGTTAGAGTTGGTAGCTGACAACTTAAAATTGCTCTACCCTCATCTCCCAAGCCCTACATTCTGGATGAGAAAGAATTTTGTAACTTGAAAAGCATTCATTAAATAGGAGCATTTAAAAGATTTATTTTAGAAAAAACTTACCACTACCATTTTTCCATCTACAATTTGTCTTTTGATTGTTGTCTCTTTGCCAAGCCATTTCTGGACATGAATCATTGAACCACCGCTTAATGTTATTGTGCTCTATAAATGCAGAAAGGAATCAGTTTTCTATGTTCTGACTAGACTTCTACTTGTTAATTTCTATTTTGACATTCTTTTTACATAATCCTTTTCTCAGTACTTGTTATAACTGAGTATTATCAAGTGATTACTTAGTACTCTCCTCCAGGCACCTAAACTATCTACTAATAATTGTTCCATTCTATATGCTCTTTTGTATAACAACAAAGGAGAGGTCAGAAAAATAAGTCAGGATCTTAAAATTTTGGGTTTGTTAAACATTAAAATAAGTAGCAAAATGATTGAGTTTAGAAAGAATATTAACAAACAAAACCAACACAAACCAATTTGGTAATATGAATACTTCATGTCTAACTACTCTCCAGTTTTCCCCTGATTGTGAGACACCAGGAAGACTTGACTCTTACTTTCACATTCCGATTGTCTGCAGTGGTTTCATCAAATTCTTCTCCCAGCTCAAAGGCGATCTCAGTATTTTTGAAAGAATTTTCTGTTTTGATGATCACCTTATCACCATCAACGCTAATAATGATGCTGGGCTTCACTAATTCCACCATATTGCGGATTGCGGCACTCACACCTGTAAGGTAGACCCAACAATAGCCATCTTAAGATATTTGCAAGGAGTACTAAAAATCACTTGTGTGAAACATTTTTAAAGAATGCATAACGTTCCTGTTGGAATTGTGGATAATGTACCCTAATTTCTCCAATAAGATCACTCTACTAATGGGGTTGATCCAACCCCTCCTAACCAGAAATTATGTCTAATAATTTTACTTGACAATTTGAAAAGCTAAGTCCACTTTTTGAGACTCTTATGCTTCAGCAAAAATGAATATTTATAGAGTGCCATTCAAGTGATTGATGTTTGCAGTTAATCTCACGGAGTACTACAACAATAGTGCAGGGGGTGTTACTATCCTCATTTTAGCTACCAATACACAATGTCCTAGAGAAGAAGAGAGGCTTATTCTAGGTGATCTGACTGATAAGTAGCAGAGCTGAGATTTAAACACAGGTTTTCCAATTATCCAAATATTTAGCACACTTTAAAACATAAGAAATACAAATTTTAATATATGTACTCTAAAAGAAGATGACTTATAAAATCCAAACTCCTTTTCCACTTGTAGATTAAGTTCATATCTGACCAAGTAAGAAGGTAGACCAGATGGACAATTTAGCTTAGACATTGACCAAATGGACAATTTAGCTTAGACATTGACCCTGTTGCTCAGGGTAGATTTTTCATTGTCAAACTTTACTCCTGAATTGTGGGTGGCAGAGCTGACCCCCTCTTCCAGTATTCATTGCAAACTTGATTTTACACTCAATTGTAGAGCTGGCATGATGCATCTGAAGTGAAGCAGTGTTAGAGGTATATCACAAAGAAGCCTGAGGAGGTTAAAATGGTCTCCAATTTCAACACTAGCTATCCTGAGCATGAGATTTCCTTCTTTAATCTTTGTTTCCTCAGTAGTAAAATATGTGTAACTATAAAACTTACCTCATAGGTGTGTTGGGAGATGATATCAAAGGACTTAACTTGATAATGGTACAAACCCACATAGAAGAGTAGATGCTCAGCTCTTACTCCCTCTTGTGTTCTGCCTGAACCCACCTCCAACTCGATACTGGCCAGAGTTATGTTTGCCCTAAGCCTCAAATTTTTTAGATATCCTCACATTTGAACTTAAAACTAAGAAACCATGAAGAGATAGAGAGCTGTGTTTCTTAATATTCCCTGAGAAACAGTACTATCTATAAAAGGGAAACATTATTTATGAGCACATTGATTTCTATTATGAGAGATAAAAAATTGTGTGGTTTCCTGGAAGAAGCAAATATATCATTAATAGGTTGTAAGCATCCCTTGATCATTTGAGTCAAGTTAAAACATTCTTGATTGTATATAAGCAATTTAATATTGCAAGGGATATTTCTATTAATTAAACATTAAACATGTCCTAATTAAATATTAATTACTGTTCTTTTAAGATTAGAAAAGAAGAACAGCTTAGTTTTTAAAGACTGAAGTCATTAGTCAATGAGCAAAATTGTTCTATTTCTCTAACAAAAAATACCCTCAAAATTCTTCAAGATAATATGTCTAAATACATCTAACATCTATCAGAAGTCTGAAAACTTATCAAGTGTAAATATTATTTATTGTTATTGCTCTGGAAATTATAACTTAAAACAAATCTTGAAGCATATTTAGTTAATAGATTTGAATAATTACTCTCTATAAATGTAAAGATGGAAAAAACTAAATGATGAAACAACCAAGGGAGAGAAACTCTTATCAAAAGGTTAGGATGATATATTTTCATAAGGGAAAAGAGGGTTTAAATATCTGGATAGCCACAAGAAGGAAGTCTCTGTGGACCTAGTATTTAAAACATAGACAATTTTACTAGTAATTTAAAAAGCCAAAGTAGATACAAAGATTTTGCTAACCTCCTATGTATATGCCTTAGCATCACAAAAGAAAGAAAATTGTAGGAAAATTCCTTGTAAAGTGCAAACTCAAGTAGCTCACAAAAAGAGTTGCCAGTTTCCAAATCTTGTAACGGAATTTCTCACCCAGTTCTTTCATATATTCCTCAAAATTTTCACTGGATTCCAGCTTCCAGGTTCCCAAGAATTGCTCGATCATCATGGAAAGCTTGCTAAGAAGAGGAACTCACAACTGAAAGTCAAAGGAACTTGGGCAATAAAGTGCTACCAGTCTGTTCATTTAAAAGGCCTCGCCATCATGTGACCTTCCCAAGATAGCCAATGGGCAGCAGGAACAAAGATTCCAGGCAGCCCCATTGACTCATTTTACTTACTTCCAAATTATGAAGCAGAAAATTAGCATGTAGAGTTGAATTTCAGTCAATGATTACAGCTTCGAGTAGAGATTTACATCCAAGTGTCACCTGATAAGTATTACTTATGGAATGGGGACAATTTGCAGTTGCCACCGTCTTTTGAACCTTAAATGCTACGTCAACTTTGAAAGAATATCCCGACATTGTCTAATGAACACCCTGCTCTGAGGTGTTTGCCTACCTGACACAAGAACATCCTTGCTTGGTCCACCTCAGCTCTTTTTTTGTTTGGATAAGTCACAGTGCCAGAGTACCCTCTTCATTAAAATAATATCTTCTCCTCCCTTCCTTGCAGGGTTGATGAATTGATATTATTTAAGTTTACTGAACATTCATTTGGAATGAGATGTAAGGTATTATTAATATTATCATTGTTGTTAATCAAGAGTAATTGCAAACTAAGAAGAAAGGTGACAATTATCACTGAATAGTATTTTGTGATTTAAGCTCTAAAAGAGAAGTGGAGTGAATGCTTGGAAATTCAGAGTTTAGGCTTATCAAATAATATTGCTATTGAAAGATACTATTTAAAATTATGAGCAGAAATTCTAGGGAGAAATATGGTCTTTTGATAACTGATTTCTAAGAGATGGACAAAGGCAGCAAATAATTTAAATCTCTGTACAATTACTTCTGAAATCATCACCTCCAATTGAAGTAATAGATGTGAACTTTGTAGGTAAATTGCATTTACGAAGAAGGATTAGGGCTCACAGGTTGTAGATGTGTATCACAGCTTTGAACTCCAGTGGTTCTAAAGGAGGCTGGAAAGTTGAAGTGCCAGATGACAGCAAAAAGCATATTTATGCCAGTATCTGGTTATGTCAAATATTCCCTCAATTCAAAGAAGTACAGATTCAAACCATCTTTTGGGTGAAAGAGGGACCCCTATGCTTTGGCACCATGAAGCTGTAAATTAAGTTGGGAAGAATTTCTTTTGATAAAACATATAAAGAAGCCGACAAGGATTACAACTGAGATGAAAAAATGCACAAAATGATGTTAAAATAAACTATTATATAAAAAAAATTTTAAAAACGACAGTTACAGTCAATATCTTTATAGGTGGAATAATTATTAGACTATCTGAAGACAAACAAGGAAAATATTCTTAGAGTCAGTTGCAGGAAACCAACTGGGCAGGTGAAACTTTACTCAAAGGTGAGCCTCTTTTTTCACCTTTAAATAGGAATACTAATTCCTATTATAATATTATTTTGAAGATAAATGAAGCAAAGATGCAAGCCACCTGGCTCCATAGTAAATGCCTAATAAATTTTAACTTAGAATTGTCCTGGTCAATCCTTTCCAATTTCTTTTAATTCTGTAATCCTCTAGTGAGCACAAGGTGAGAATGTGAATCTTTGTTTGCAAACAAGTAAATTCTTATGATCAGGAACTCAGTCCACCTTTTCTAGACTCTCCATATCTTAGTGTTACACACAGGACAGGAGTTCAGAAACTAAATATCTCTGGCATTATTTTTAAGGGAAAAAAATCACAAAAAAAGTCATGTCAACTACAGCACACATTTTAACGGATTTTGGCTCACTATAAAGGGCAAGTATATTTGGTTTGGAAGTTTCAGTCTATATACCTGACACTCCAGTGATCTATAGAAGTACTTCAAAACCTTTCGCAAGAGGGAGAGAACAACAGACACAACATATAAACACAAACACACACACATATTCCTACCCTAGGAAATATCAGTATCGGTTTTTTGTTTTGTTTTGATTTATTTTATATACTGGGAATCCATGAAGATTTTATTTTAAATAAAGAGTTCCAGAATGCATTCAATATACTTGAGTATATTTCTTACCAGCTCCACTGGTAAGAAATTTGGAGCATTTGCATCATTACTAAGCTGTCACCTCTTTTCTGGAGTAAATATGGGATTACTTGAACTTAATTTTTGAGAGATTACAGAGACAGCTTCATTTAACAAACATATTTCAGATTAAAAATGATAGCTTAAAAATCATTTTTCTGTAGCATGCATTTACCTGTCTCTTTGAACACTCTAGTACAGATAGATGTGAAATGATAGCCCTGAGTCAGCTGGTGTAGACAATTTCACTATATTTAAAATTAACAGCACCTATTTATCATCTACACAAGATAGTGAAAAATTCACAAACATAATTTTTTTCTGTTTTAGGTGATTAAGTAATATAAACATATTACTTATACAAGAAACAAAACAATACAATTTTGTGTCCTCTGAGTTATGAGTGAGAAATTCTCCAGCATAATAAATAAGTCATTACATCACCTTCTAAATCCAAAAAGTTTTATTTAACCAACACAGAGACATTGAATCAAAATCAGTTTTGGGGAAAATTAGTTGTCTGCTAATTAGTGGAAAACATAACACGTTTGGACAATATATCCAATAGATGTTGCAGAGTTCCATGCAAACTTCTATCCATCACCATCCCTTGGTCCTTTGGCTTAGGCTCTTTCATAAACCCGGGTAGAAGTGACGCCTTTCATGACACATTCCTGGACACACAAAAAGTCATAGTTAACCACTGAGACTAAACCATGGGTTTCTTTATCATCTTCAGTAGTGGGACGTATACCTGATACTATAATATTAGGGATTTGAGAAGACTCAAATCCCCTCAAAGAAACTTGCAATCTATAAGTGAGTGATATTTATTAAACAGAAATGCACTGTGTGCATATGGTGCATCCTGAGGGGCCAGGGACTGCATCCCAGGGGATAATATGCCTGAGGGAGGTTAGTAACATGAGGGCAACCCCCAAATTAAAGTCATACACCTAACAGAATCACTTTTTGCTCTACATAAAAAGGATGATTACATGTTTCCTTAGGTAAAATAATGATCATGGGTTGCCCTTGCAGTGGGATCTAGAATTAAGTAGCTGGAATATACTCACCACCACCAGTTTATCATCTACTCGTTTTCTCTTTATGGTGGTTGACTTTCCATCCCACTTCTGCACCTGTACCAGGGCCCCTCCATCTAAGGTAATGATACTCTGCAGGTAAAAACAATTATTAAAATTTATATATGATGGCAAAAAATAAAAATACAGTTCTCAGTTATTTGAAAGAATATTTTGAAGTTATTAGTATTTTCTGAGTTATAGGAATATATTTGGATATACTGTCCAAAAAAAG